TTGGGTGATCGTGATGTAGAGACAACACGCGATGCCGGAGGTCGGGGGGAACGTAAGCACGATCCTTATAGAAGAGAACACCATCGGTGAACCTCCAATCAGAAAGTGCAGACTTCATGGGGGGTGCGCACACCCCGGAAAGGGCGTCCAAGGCTGTTTTCACAGTCTGGTCGGAGGGGTCGTCAGAGAGTCGTTGAAACTCGTCTGTGAGTTCAGCGTCGATTAGACGGGTGAACAGGGTGTCGGGGAGGAGGATACGATCCTCATTATCCTGACCAGCTATAGCGTGGTCCGGACGGCGGGATAAGGCATCCGGTGCAGCGAGCTTTGTTCCAGGAACATGGTGAAGTTCCAGGTCAAAGTTGGTGAGCGTGAGGTGCCACCGGGCCTGTCGTCGGGTGAGTCGTTGCGCGGAGCGGAAATAGATCAGGTTCTTGTGATCCGTGAAGATAATGACTGGGTGAGGGTTTCCTTCGAGGAAGTGCCTCCAAGCCTGAAGGGCCCGGATGATGGCAAGGAGTTCTCGGTCGTAGATCTCGTAGTTCCGTTCGGCCGCGTTGAGAGACTGGGAGAGGTAGCCGCAGGGGTGGTAATCCCCATTGCTATCCGTCTGGAGCAAGACTGCTCCGGTCGCGAAGAGCGAGGCGTCAGTTGCAAGTGCAAACTGTCGTGAGGAGTCGGGGTTCCGCAGAACCGGTTCGGTGGTGAAAAGCTTCTTCAGATGCTGGAATGAAGCCTCGGTAGAATCGGACCAAGAGAAGGGGATCTCCTTCTTGGTTAGATCGAGGAGAGGTCGTGCGATGTCGGAGTAGTGGGGAATGAAATGACGGTAGAAGTTGCAGAATCCAAGAAAGGACCGCACGTCCTTGACCGAAGAGGGTTGTTGCCATTCGCTGATGCCTTTCAGCTTGGCAGTGTCCATAGCAACCTGTCCAGGTCGAATGATCATACCGAGGTACTCGACTTCTTGAGAGTCGAAAGTACATTTCTCGGGTTTGAGGAAGAGAGACTCTTTGCGGAGTTTCTCCAACACTCGGCGGGTCCTTTGCCGGTGTTCGTCCAGATTATCTGAAAAGATCAGGATGTCGTCCATATAGACGATTAACCATCCTTCGTTCAGTTCTTCTGAAAATGTCTGGTTCATGTAAGCTTGGAAGGTGGCAGGTGAATTGCACAATCCGAAAAACATTACCTTGGGCTCGAAGAGCCCGTATGAGGTGGAGAACGCGGCCTTCCACCTGTCGTCGGGATGAATGAGGATATTGTTATATCCTGATCGTACGTCGACCTTTGTGAACCATTGCGCCTTGTTGAGTTTCGCAAGCAAGGGTGGTATCAAAGGGAGTGGGTACGCGTTCTTGATCGTCCATTCGTTGATGTATCGGTAGTCCTGGCAGGGGCGGAGAGAACCGTCCTTCTTGCCGACAAAGAAGAATCCAGCAGCTTGAGGAGACTTCGAGGGTTGGATGAAATCTTTGGCGAGGTGTTCGTCCAAAAATGCTTTGACAGCGTCGGTTTCCTTCGGTGAGAGCGGGTAGGCTCGAGAAGACTTCGGAATGAAGCCTTCCTTCGTTTCGATTTTGTGGTCTACTCCCGGTCGTGAGGGAGGGAGTTTGTTTAGACCGTCCTTCGCGAAGATGTCAGCAAAATCATGAAGATAGGAAGGTACCAGTTCTTCAAATGATTTCTTCTTCTTCTCCTGCGCGTCCTCCATAGCAAATTCTTGAGCTTTGTTGGAGGTCTTCGTGTAGTCCTGCTGAGAGGCGAGGATCCAGAGGTTCCGGAGAGGTTTTGCTCGTCTGTGGAGAGCCTTCCGGATTTCTTTCTTCGAGGTTCCGTCCTTGGTGAGCGGAGTGTCGAAAGAGATGTTTTCGATGATCCGGACGGATGTTCCGTCCGAAGCATATTCCACTAGGACTTCATCGTCAGTGAGGGGATAAGTGGAGATCTCCTCAACTTTATCCGCAAGATGGGTCTGTCCGACCCAGACATCGTCCATGGTGTTGAAGTCGATATCTTCGAAAGGCATGATGATTGGCGCCTTCCTCTTCTTGTTACGCTTCTTGCGTTTCTTGATTTCCTTGAGGCAATGTTGGGTGCCTTTTGGGAGTCGCTTGAGGGGCGAAAAGTCCTCGTCGTCGAGTTCTTCTAGGACAGCCTTTTCTCCACGAAAGAGATATGGCTTGGCCTTGCTTTCTCGTCGGGAGGCGTTGAGTTCCCTCTCCACCTCCTTTGACCTATTGGTCGCAGGCAGGGAGATCGTGTTGGCCTTCCAGTCGATATTGGGCATCATGGCACTAAGCCAAGGTTTTCCAAAAAGTAGGTCATCATGCTTGGAAAGTTTCGTTACGTTGAACTTTCCATACATAAGTCTCCGATCGAGACGAATGAATAGCATGCAGTATTGGGTTACCTGTCCTGCCGAGGACGGGCTTCCGTCTACTGTGGTGATCCGGAAGGGTTTCTTGAGTAGGTGGGTCCGGATCCCATTTCGCTTGACGAAGTCATAGCTAATGAAGGTCCCACCTGCCCCTGAGTCGATGATGGCGGTCGACTGAACGGTTTTGGCACTGCAAGAAGAGAAAAGTGTCACCGGGACACGAAACTCGTTGGATTTACCAACAGCTTTAGTATACAATGCGCAGATAGAGGGAATTGACCGTTCGACAAGCCCTCTCTTTAAAAATCCTTTCTTTTGACAAGGTTGACTTCCATGTCTTCCTCGTCAGAAGACTCGTCAAGCTGGCGGACGCCAGACTTGCTTGGCTTCTTGCCTTTGTCTTCTTCGTCGTTCTTGTCTCCTCGGCGCACCTTCGGGTGGAACCGGGAGTCGTTTGCTCGATGGCCCTTTTCCTTGCATTTGAAGCAAAGGCCTTTATCGAAGCACTTCTGTCGTTCCTCAGGCGTGAGGGAACGATCAACGTCCATAGCATCAGGATCGCGTTGGCAAACCTGAGGCTTGGGGACGTGCCGGTGCCCGGAAGGGCGTACCGATCTGTTGTTGGACACAACTGCTCTTGATCGCTTGTAGTTGGCTTCCAACTGTGTCGCGGCAGTGTACCATTTATCGATGGTGTTGGGGACGACCTCCTTCGTGTAGATGGCGGTTCGAAGTCCTGGTTTCAACCCTCTTTCGAAGAAGTGGATGAGGGCGACGTCCTGCTTGAGACTAGCAGTGGACGACAGGGTTTTGAACGTTGCGATGTAGGGCATCACATCGCCAGTTTGGGTCAAACCATGAAGCTTGGTTAAAGCCTCAGTCATCCGGTCGACCGGGTGGAAGGATTCAGTGAAAGCCTTCCTGAAGTCCTTCCAGCTACCGAAGTCGACGGGAGTTTTGTCGAAGGCTGCTCGGTAGAAGGTGTCGGCCCAGACGCGGGCGTCTCCATCGTTCATATACTGGAGTGCAACAGCGACCTTGGTTTGGTCGGAGCTGTAGATCGTCGAGTTGATGAGAAAGTATGTCTCCACCGAGTACATCCAGCGCTCGGCATCATCGATGTTTCCATCATAGTTCTGTGGTACTCCAGCCTTTAGTTCAGGTCTGGATACGACCACTGTCGGTTGTGGGGTGGGGCCTCCGGACATTCTTGTTCCAGGGTTCGAGTTGAGGTTGCCGTACGGTTGTTCGTCGGGAAACTCGTCGGAGGACGTATGGTCTTCTTCCGATTCTTCTTCTTCGGAGTCCGGAGTGTTGGGATCGCATTCCCAAGGGTACTTCGGGGTCCAGGTAGTCGTGGTGTCTGTCGATTAATGGCCGTGCGGATGGCAGGGCGCAAAAAAGGAAACTTGAATCTTTTGTTACGCACTCAAATAGATCTGTTATACGGAGCCCTAAGAGGGGCGTCGTCCGCTAACGTTCGTGACGTAACCGGAAGGGTCCGGTGTAGCGACTGAGACTGGCGACGTCGAGTCGGCAGATATCAGAGATGCGCGTGTCACGTGACTTCTAAGACGGATGTCTTCAAAGTCACTGACGATCTCAAAGTAAGGACAGTCTTGTCCGAACGATGAGTAGTCGATCGAGGTGGACTTAGGCGCGATGAGCACCTAAGAAAAGATACTAGAGACTGAAGCTGAGGGGGCTTCAGAGGGAAGTATGTTCGAGGGAAGATTGAGTAGATTCAAGTTAGGGAATCTAGTACAGAGTGACCGACTACTTATACTAAGTGGAAAGGGTTAAGGGCAAGGCTACCGTACTGTAGGTAAGGGCAAAGGGGAGACGGAAAGGGTATAGGTACGATGGTGGCAGAGCCTGATTAGTGATGTAAGGTCGAATGCGGAATGAGACCGAGAAACGTTGGAACGAGCCAACGGTAAATGATACAATGTGCAGCATGCACGAGTCAAAGGAAAGATAAGACAAGATAAGGAAAGCCACATTGGTGGCACGAGTCAGAACGAGTCATAGCCCGAAGGCACGTGCGCACGTTGGTGCGATAGGAGGGGGATGAGGGACGGGAACGGTCCTGAGGATCCGGTCAACGGATAGTCGGTAGAGAAGTGCGAGCCGGAGGCATACGAGGGTGAGGACGAAGGGGAAAAATGATAGGGGGGCCATGTAGCCGATGTTACTTGTAACACCAGCTGAGCGTCTGCGCCTGTTCTCTTCTTCATTTGATTTTCAGTTATCCACACTGTTCATTGTACCTCTCACCTCCTCACTCGCTCCCTTAGATTTTTGAGTATTTCATTCGCTATGCACGAGCACCTCGGCCTTGAACTCAATAATAGAACCTCCAATGGTTTATCCACACCTCAGGTGACTCAAGCTGCTTCAGTGTCAGGCCCTGGTTCATCTTCTCATCCAACCACTTCCACAGGGCAGTCATCCACCAGCACCAGAAATGCAACTGCCCCTGGAAGTTCGGCTCAAGCTCGAACATCTCAGCAGCCTGCCCAGCATGCAAATGCTTCGAGCACTCAATCCTCTGCACCTCAGCAAAACTGTGCACCGATAGTTTCATCATCCAACTCAGCTGCGCCTAATTCAGCACCTAATGTCCCGCATCAACCAGCAGTGCAACCCACCGTTATTCAGCCAGTTGTGGTGCAGCAACAGCCCTTACAAGCACCTGCGGATGAGATTGATGCCCTTAGAGCCAGAATTGCTGAACTGGAGCACGGGGAGGCTCACAGCAACCATCTACTGGCCAGAGCACCCGCGCCTCAACAAGCCATGGTCGCAGATCCCACCACAGTGGATCACATTCGAGCAAATCTCAATGGCGCCAAGGAAGAGTCAAAGCGACCATCGCTACCGGCTCTTTGTCCAGGACATAAAGTCAGCGCACTAAGCTTGCGTGAGTGTTATTTGGCTTCGGCCATATGTTACAATGCCTCTTCAGCACACTGTTCTGGTACCGCCTCGGTGCACCAAGCCAACTCGTGGCCTTTACCACTACCATACCAAACTACCACCTAAAGGGGGGTTGTACTACTCGTTTGCATTTGTGCCAATATTATTTCATTCTATGTTTACCATACCACTGAAGTTAGTATCTAATGTACTTCCTTCATAGCAATACCTGCCAAAGTGGAAGAGGCCTTCAAACATTACTGTTATGTGCCATATATGGCATTAACGCATGCAGCTCGCTCTAAAGCATTCCTACGAGGAGAAGACTCGTCTTTCATTTTCACTCAGGATGGTTTAATGGCCAAGGGTCTTGACCGCTTGAATGAGCTCTCCATTGTAACAGTGGACTGGATTGCAGCGGCCAAAGCTGCTGAAGAAAGGACAGCGCATCATTGGGGTGAAGAGCGCACCGCTGCTCTAATTTCGCACCACCTTGTAGCCCTCGATATTGGATGGACTCATGGTTGGTCAGTGGCGATGCATTACGACGTGCAGCAGAGGGAGCTAGCACATGGCAACCACAAGCACAATCTCGCCGGACTCGATGTAGCTGCTCTCACTCTAGCAAATAATAAAATCTCCGCTGTTGTATCACAACCTGCTCCTATCTCACCCAACAAGCGTGCTGCTCCAAATGAGTTTCCATCATCGCCTCGTAAGAAATCGCATACCTTTGCCTTGAGCCATTGCTTTCGCTGTGGAGCATCCGGCCATCTGCCTGCCGACTGCTCAGCGGACACTACTTCAGCAGGAAAGCCAGTTGCAGCTATGGCATCCAATGCTCGAAGCAAGCACACCCTCGCTAATGCATCCAAAAAACACTACTGTTTTAATTGGGCCAACAGCTCCAATTGCTCCTTCAATTCCAATTGTAGAAACGTCCACGCATGCAGTCTCTGCGGTGATTCATCCCATGGAGCCGGCAATTGCAAAGTCTGAGCTTGACCCACACACAGTAGTGACCCCTCTCGACCATCTCAAGGTCAAAGATACCCTCCATAAATACGATATTTTCAATGATTGGTGCCATATAGTCAACAGTATTCGCAACAGTTTCAACGTTGGTGTCCAAAGCTTACCAAACTGTATTTTGTTATTTCGAAAATCATGCATCTTCCTTACTCAACCCCTCTGTAATCGACAACTACATAATTTCCGAGCAAGCTGCAGGCCGCTACTCTACGGGATACAGTCCTGCAGACTTAGAGCGCTTAATCGGACCTTTCGCACCTCTCCGCTAGGCTTAGTGCCAAAGCCCCATTCCAACAAGTTCCACTTAGTCCAAGATCTTTCCTACCTGCGCAACGACCCATCTACACGTGCTGTGAATGCAGACATCAGCGCAGACGATTTTCCCACAGTATGGGGAACATTCGACGATACTGCCGCTCTCATTCTTTCACTTCCACCAGGCTGCATCGCAGCAACATTCGACATGTCCTCAGCTTATTGTATAGTCCCTGTGCTTCCTTGGCAGCAGAATTCCCTTTGTATAATCTGGAGAGGCATTGTCCAGGTGGACAGGGCTCTCATGTTCGGCCTCACCTCAAGTGCAGGCATTTTCGGCTCAGTCGCCGATATGCTGGTGGCAATTTATGGCAGAGCTGGCTTCAGCCTCATCTGAAAGTGGGTCAACGACTTCCTAGTCGTCAGACTGCCACACCAGTCATGGATGGAGGCAGACTTCATCGCCATCTCAGCCTTCTTCGGCATGCCATGGAGCCTGGAGAAACTCAGACGCTTCACGTCAATTCAGCACTATATCGGATTCGATTGGGACCTGGACCGAAAACAGGTTTCCCTTCCAGAGGACAAGCTCCGCAAAGTCCAGGAACTAATCAATTGCTGGCTGCTCAAAGGAGCTTCATTCACAGCGAAAGAGGCAGCGGGCCTGCATGGGAAGCTTGTCCACGTGGCATGTATCTTTCCCCTCATTTGTCCGTTTCTGCGCTCAATAGCAGTTTTGCAGTGCATTTCCAGTCGCCACGCGCACATCTCAAGCCATCCCATCCCGTTCTCGCAGACCTTCCCTGGATCCAATCCCTTCTTTCGCACCTCCTGAAGTCAGTTCCCCTATCAAACCCATCCCCACTAGACATTGGCTGGTGGGGCGATGCGAGCACGTCCTTTGGAATTGATGTAGTGGTACAGGGACACTGGGCCATCTGGCATTGGGCCCCAGGATTCAAAGTTGGCCTAAAACAAGACTTTGATATCGGCTGGGCGGAAGCCGCTGTAGGGATTCATTTCTGGCTGGGATTGTAGAGACTGTTTGTACCTTACCTTATGTTGGCACTTTTGTAGCTTACATAATCAATCAATCTTTTCACCAGTTACCAGTATGAGTCAGAGTGCTCAGTAGTTTTTATGATATCTCCTCTACTCTGAGCCTTGAGCCTGGTCCAGAAACCCTTTAGGGTCGAATAGCAGCTAGGTTCTGCAAGACCCAACACATTATTCAGACTCACCATCTGAATTGTTGTACCTTCACTGCAGCACTCGAACTTGGCCTTTGCATGGCCTTGCATCTAGGTACCGCCTATCTGTTTTGTCTGAACTGCTCCCCATTGACGATATTTAAGGCATTATTCCCGCCGGCACCACAGTAAGCACAGTGTACTTAGTCTGTTCGGACAACGCTGGAATAGTGGCTGTGGCCAACAAAGGCTGTTCCCGCAGTGTGCAGACAAATGCTATTCTAAAGCATGTGTACCATTTTCAGGCAGACAACAGCATCTGCCTGCACACAATCTTTGTCCCCACCTGTGCGAACATTGCGGACACCTTGTCTCGCGGCGACATCACTTCGTTTCTGACTGGCTTTCCCAATGCAGTGGCATTGATGCTGATTTCCTTGCCTCTGCATTTAGCAGACAAGATTGTTCAATCATCGTAAGATCCTTACACCATGTATCACCAAGCCACAGGCACGAGCCTCTCCCACCCTCAGCACCTTACATCGAGTCTTCTCACCTCCGCCCGCATTGCAAAGCAGTAGAAAGGCTATTCACATGGTGAGGGCCGAACTCACCTCCTCCGGCAACTATAGAGCACCTGGTCATCCGCCATTTGGCCAGTATCGCTACCTGTGTGTCACTCCGAGATGCAGCAAGCTATGGTGCTGGATTGCGCAAGTTCCACAGATTTTGCGACATCTTCTCAGTTCCCGAGTCCAACTGCCTTCCAGTATCTTTTGAGCTACTCCACTCCTTCACCTTATGGGTGGTTGCTGACCCAAATTCTGGTGACCCACTGTTGTCCACTGAAGGCAGCATCCCTTTCGAACCAGTCTCAGTGGGAGTCGCGCAAAAATACTTATCGGCAGTACGCATGTGGCACATCGCACAAGGATGGCCCCCACCGCTATCTGATTCCAACCACAACTGAATTAACTGGTCACTTCGAGGCCTCGAAAACCTACAAGGTGGTCGCAGAAGGCCTGTTCACCCCCCCATCACGCTACCCATGCTTACAGCTCTCAAAGCCACCTTAGTCTTGTCAGATCCCTTCGATGCATGCGTTTGGGCCACGGCTGCCTGTGCCTTTTTCGGGATGATGTGCTTCGGCAAAGTTTCAGTCGCATCCCGCACAGCCTTCTCCCCTTCCAAACACCTCACTCGTGCAGACGCATTCTTTGATCACGACCTGCGATGCAAGCCCTATGCACATCTAGACCTTCCATCGGCCAAAACCGCACGTCCTGGGGAGAGGCAGTCAGTTTTCCTCAATGAACAGGGTGATTTGTGCCCTCTCACAGCCCTCCATAACCTGGCAAGTGTTGTTCCTGCACTTGCCAGCGACCCATTATTTTCGTGGCGCAACAGCAAAGGTGATGTCCGCCCAATGGCCAAAGTACGAGCGATAGAGTGGATCAACTCGATACTGGTGGCCTGGGGATGGGGCACTACCTTCGGACACTCTTTTCGCATTGGCGGTGCTTTGTTCCACCTTGCAAAAAAGGTTGATCCAGAAATCGTGCGAATCACCGGCCGCTGGAAGTCCTTAGCTTACGAAACATATATCCGGGTGTTCGAACAAATTTCCTCGCAACATTTGGCCAACACTGCATCGCTCTAGTGGCCGCCTACACTCTCATTGGACTGAGCAGCTGATCGCCGCGGGTCGTTCTGGCATAATGGGTGAGCGGCTCCACCTGCTCGCATACCACCCCGAGCTAATGCTCGGCCCAGCCCAACCTGTTAGAACATGTCAGTGACCCTAGAGCTAGATGAAGCTGGATATCAAAGGAAGAGTCTGCATTAACTCATGCAATGCATGCTGCCTCGAGTTGTTCACAGAGCTCGATTAGCTCCATGGTACTCAACTTTGGTTTATTGTGACCAATATCCTCATCGTCTGACTCCACCTCAACAATCTTCCTGCTCCAAATTGCTTGCTGGTGCTTGCAGTGGCATCTTTCCCATGAGATGTCATTGGCTTCCGAGGCTTGTATGGGCCAGGCTTAGGATGCGGCTGATGTTTTTTGGTGCTACACATCATTGAGTCAGTACTAGATGTTCATTAATGAAAAAATTCATGCTACTTGCAGGACCTCCAACCACCCCGGGCCTTAGTAAACTAGGTGTCATACTGTATATTGAACGACCAAACATTATACATTATACATTATACAATATTCTGGCCATTTCCCCGCATACCACAATGGGAGCCACCCAAACCCGATACAATATGAAAAATATACATTATTACCATATACATTATGAGCAAGTCTACTGTACATGCACGAATCCATAGAATCTTTGATTTCCTTTGAACACTCGTTCAGATATTGAGATTCAAAATTCTGCCGAGTGTACCGTTGTGGAGCTATAAAACTCCAGTGTGACATTGCTGTGACAAATTTTGAAACAGCATATCCAGTCCCTGCCAACCTGACATCGCACAACTGGACTCATTCTGCCACTCGAACATCATTGCAAAAAAATCAGATTTCACCTGGGTGTGATAGAGCACAATTTTTCCCACAGGCTGTCAGGAAGTGGAAAAAAAAAACTTCTTGACGAGTGTGCTATGCTTCACACATTGAAAACCTTTGAAAAACCCCGCCAGTCCCTGACTCCCACTTTAGTGGGAAGAGGGTTTTGTCGGATCCAAACATACAGGCACCTATATGCTGAAGTGTGGGAACCTTTCAGGTTCTAAAACTGTACAGTTTTGAATGATGAGTCATCAGAATGAATGTGTGATATCCATGGTTTGTATCGTCTGACTGACTCGTCTACAGTGACTACAGTGAAGAAATAGTGTACATCTTTTCATTTTCTCTCGACGTCCTTCTTTTATTGAAATGACCACCTTCGTGAATTTAGAATGTCTGTGTTTCTCTCGAAGCACCCCACCATGCGTCCTCAAGTTCTCAATGCTACAGATTGCCCACCTCACAATATCCTTCACGATATACAAATATATCCTCTATTCTATGATGCTTTGTACTACCCGCAATATAATGAATCTGTATATGCAACAGCCGAGAAATTTTGTTGTTGGTTGCAACTATCACTCGCCTCCCACTGTTGTAACAGCTTGTGTCTTAGATGTGGTCCCCTTTATCGATCCGTCGCTGTAGTTTTTGATGGGGTAGGTTTGTCTAACTAAACGCACAGAATTTGCAAGCATGTCGGATGATATCCTTGTCAAGAGTCTCTTGACAGCACCTGTCCCACCTGCTTGCAGAAGAACATGGGGCACTTTGCTTGCTGCTGAGTTTCAGAACTTGTATGGTCCTGAGGTGGCCACTGCTCTACACACTCCTCCTGTCATCAGTGCATCTCTTGCTATTGATTCAGCGAGTACGCAAGTCTCTGAAGCCATGTCTTTGCCATGGATCTCTGCATCTGTCGATGATCTCGCTCGCCATTTAGAGAAGCTGAACTGCACCGACATCAAGACATGTATTCATCAATTTGCACCATGCTATCGCTCACTCTACAACAGACTCTCTCATCAAAAAACTTGTAATGCACTCGCTAATCATGTTCAGCAACGTGCACTATCCCTATTTCATGCTGGAGTGAGTGTTTTGGGTGATGTATTTTCCATTCTTGAGATTTGACTCCCTCTCGGATAAGGACATTTTCCGTCAGATTCTCACTCACGAGTTTGGTGTGCTTGTTACTGAACATCTGTCACAAGAAATTGTGTCGCACTCTGTCAAGATCAAATCAGCCCAACTAGAACGAAAACAGAATACACTAGCAGATGTGAATAGTATTCGCACAGAACGAGAGTGGGAGTGGCCAATGCCTGTTTCAAAAGAAGTCATTTTTGAGTGTTTTGATTGCTGTACATACTCGAATGTTGTATATATTGATACTGTTTGCTGTCAATCCATCGTAATTTCTTGGAGTCGGGGACTATGGTGCTGGATCAGTTCAAATATTATACACACCCGAAACTCTCACACACACATACATACAACACACACACAGACACTGAACACACACAATTTGACAAAGCTCTTGTATTGCAGAAAATTCAGTAATCTTTAATTCTACTATGTCGTTCTAGCTAAGGTGTCTTGAATCATTAGGCTGCTGCAGCCCTGGCAAATATCTCACTAGACTACCCGCCAACCAAGCCATCAGATTCGTATACACATGTCTTGTATTGTAGAAAATTGAGTACTACCAATGAAAAAAAGCAAAACTAGTGTGTTACGATCCACACGGGTAAACCTGTGGGTGTCTCAAGGTCAACCCGTACCCATACCTGCCATGGGTACGGGTATGGATACGGGTACATACCTGTGGCGGATTTACCTCAGTGCTTAGCACACACGCCCAGTGCACGTCAGCGAATGCTGATGTGGCTCGAACGTATGCGGAGGACATTGGAGAGCGCCAAAAGAGTGGAAGGAGGGACGAGACAGGAAGAATGAGATGGAGGGTAAGATGCAGTGTAGGGTGTGAGTGGTTGTAGTAGCACGCTGCAAGGTTAAAGATAGTAGTAAGCGAGGGAAAAACATGCACACCTGGAACAAGTGGTGAACAACTGAGAGCAATGAGCGAATGACTGAGATCAGCAAGCGAGAGAGTGAGAGCAACGAGAAACGCACCTTTGCCGCTTAGAGCCTTAACTGCATCTAATTCCATCAACCTCCAGTGGAATGTCAGACCTCATTCCAATCACTACAACCCTACAAGAGTTAGCTTGAAGGGGTACTGGTGTTGGTGGTTATCATGAGATGAGAGTTGAGCGGTGGTGAAACAAATATTTGTAAGCACGCTCGGCAGTACCCGCGCGGGTAACGGGTACTCAAGACTCTGACCCGACCCACGCGGGTTACCTGTACCCGTGCAGATCCCTAGCTAGAATGACATGCTTAGTAGACTTAAAGATTACTGAATTTTCTGTAATACAAGACCTTTGTGTGTGTTCAGCATGTGTGTGTGCGTTCAGCGTCTGTGTGTGTCGTATGTATGTGTGTGTGAGAGTTTCGGGTGTATAGGGGACTGGCGCTTTCCAGCGCCGCTACGATGATAGTAGCTGGGAACTGACAATGATTATACTATCTCCATGTGACCGGCGAAGCAAGGGCATCCCAGCGCCGCTTTACATAACCCAGTACACTGCCACTACCGCCTGTTCCGCTGCTACTACATATGACCTTTGATGACATCCCTCTCGAACTACTGCCTATAATCTTTGATTCCATAGTCAGAGCCCAACATCTTGCATTCTTATGTTTGGTCAATAAGTCATTTAACGAGTTTGCCATCCAAAGGCTTTACCGGCGCGTTTACATATACGCATGGCATACAAAGGCCAAGTCAAAGGTGGATCTAATGTTTATACCATAAAATCGCAGTTATTCACATTCACAATAGGTCGTTCTGCTGTTTCAGACACTTTCAAATTGTCCTCGTCTTGCACGTTACGTTTCACGTCTCGGTGAGCCCAGACCAGTTAATAACACCAACTAGCGCAGTTACTAACATCGTTATCATACAGAGATAAGAGCCTTCCCAAAGGCACTCCCTTCTTCGTCCTACAGCGACCTCCTAGATATTTGCACAAGAGGAATACGGAATTGTGTCAACCTGAGATCGTGTGCCTGGACTCGAGATGGCTCGTTGGAATCGGCGATTCTCTTGGCTCTCCAGCAATGCCCCCAACTTGAAGAACTCGAGATCAACGGAAAGGACAACGGATATTATGATCCTAACATACTTACACGATTCTCCAAACTGTCTAGAATATCACTCATAATGCCGAGCGCGCAAGTTATTGAAATTCTTCCCTCCTGGATATCCGCTACAGGTCCAACCCTTCGTAACCTTACTATGATCTGTCAGGTATGACAAGGATCGGAGCGACTGAACTAATTGATCTCATTTCCCTTTGTAGACATCGAGTCTAATCACCGATACCTTACTGGAATCTCTCGCTCCTAGCATGACCGAACTGGATCAATTATCAATTATTGGATGTCCAAAGGTGACACACAGAGGCATTGGTGAAATTGTATCAACCAATCATAATGGCCTCACCAGTATCGGACTCGAGAGGCTTTCCCCAGCATTTGTGAGTCTTCAACCTTTCGCCCTCACTACGCGTCTGCTGACTGTATCGGTCAGGGTATGACCAGCTTCAACCGCATCTGCAAGGAGCACCAGGCGTTTAGGCGTCTCAGATCAATCACCTTGGCGGTTCATATTGAGACACCCTTTCAGACATGGACGGATGACGTAACGGAACTGCTATCCACTGCGCCATTAGAAATATTACAAGTTTATGCTACGACGCCAACCGCTAAAGTGGTTGTCCCGGACAATTTTTGGAAAACCATTGTCACGATGCATGGGTCGCGCCTCAAGCGATTTTCTATTGACCGGATGACAATTAGTTTGGGTGCATTACACGACATATGTTCTCGATGCTCCGTTTTAGAGCAACTGTTTGTCGTCACCACGCGGCACAATTTGGTGCGCAGCTTGTGTTTTTTTGTGAGCTGAAGTTCTCATCCGCACCTGTCAGGATGATGTGTCCAGTTGTTTTGCTGCTGCTCGTAACCTCCGCGCGATTCATGTCAACTTTTATCGTGAAGCGGATGAAACAGAAGAGCGGTCCATGATGAATGATGCTTTGCGTATCGTCCGACAATGCCCTGCAACAGTGACGCAGATTGGATGCGATACAAGGGTTTGGAATGTGAGTTCCTTTCTAGTCAAAACAATACCTTCGTTGTTAACTAGAGCACAAAGGTACGACGCGAGGTGCGGATGAACGACAAGGCTGAATTATACACCGTACCTACCCTCACTCGTTATGAGAATCCGGATATACCGGAACAATTTCTTGTCGCCCGAGGGGCGTAAATAAACTGCCTATGTGTTCACCTACCAGATGAAAAGGATGCTCATGAACTACTTTGAATTTAACATTGGTATACAAATATGACTTGATTGGATCGAGAGAACAGACAAACATGAAGGTACATCATATATTTACAATATGTCAGCGCAACCTGTGCGATAGCATCTCGAGCGTTAGGCTTCGTTTCTCATTCTACGTAGTCGTGGGCCCATGGCGTTCGAAGGAGGCTTCCAAGTTGGGTATGATCCCGCAAAAATACGACCTTGTTCGCGCTTGTATGCGTGAACAATGTTAATCATCCAGCCTTCAATGATATCAAAGATTTTCTACAAAAGATTTGTTCAGACAGAGTTGCACCTACAGTGAGTTCTAATGCTTACCTGGACGAGGGCTTGGGAATGTGGTACCGGACCCCGCAGACACAAGTTAGTTAACGGATCGACGACGCGCAACTTTTCTTTGAGCTTGAGTAATACTGGCAGATTTTGTGGATCGCACAATCTGTTGTCTGCGTATAAGAGGAGAGCGTGTATGGCGCACAGACGGTCAAAGTGTATGTCTTCTAATAGCATGAACAAGCAAATGGCGATGTCATCGGCTGTGACGATATTAGCAGAGAAGAGTGATCCAAGAAGGCCAGCCTTGTTTACTCCTTTCAGCGTGAGGGCAGAGTATTGACCAGATGTGGAGCATATGTTCTTCCAGTGGCCGTCCTGAGAGTGACGTTTAGTACCCTTGTTTTATCAATCAGCGGAGAAGGACTCAACTGATTTCCAGTGTAGGCGAAACATGTTCATAGCGCGCACGCGTAAGATCCTCTCGAGACCTTTTATCTGTTTCGGCGATTCCTTCGTCAGCTTGATTAGCATCGTTTGCACTACCATAGAAACAAGCAGCGCTGAGTCAACATGCTGCGCTCCGTCGGTCAGCAGACTTTCGACAACGAAATCCAAGCCATGAACTCGGAGTTCTGCCATTTTGGCTTCGACAATTTTTCTAAACCCTTCCGCATAGATCGAGGATTTGCCAGATTGTGTGACACGACTGTTTTCGGTATTTGCGGGATAGTGCTGGTCGTTCGGAGACAATGCGTTTTGCTTAGGACTGTTAGTTTTGAGTGAGAACTTTCCCTCTGTCTTAGGCTGATAACGTCCAGCAACCTTGCTCGAGGAAACATCGTCCATGCATGTGTGTGGAGTAGGAGTGTATGTCCCATGTATAAGAGATGAAGTATCATTGACGACAGTGAAAGAAGCGTCCATTGTGGTTGGTGGCGTGCGACGGAACATAACATCCCCGCGCGCCTGCGGCGGGATCGTGCCGACTTTCTTGTTAGGCTTAAGATTCCAAGCGTTACGAATAGTAGTGCTTGGCGGGGGGAGAACACCAGGGCTATTCGGAAGTAACTTCATCATGTTGCGCATCCTGATCTCCAAGTCAATTTCAAGGAGGTGCCGACGAGAGTTTTTCTCGAACGGCTTGGGAAATTGGGATGAAATGTGGTATGGTAGCGTGTTGAACGGCATGATTTGACAAGGCAATCGACAGTGGGTGTGATGTTGGAAAGACCATGAGTATGAGCTGCATCGCGGTTTATATGTCTGAATTGTATGGGTGTGGGTGTGGTGGATTGGTTTGTTGTGGATCGGGCATCGTGGAACGAGGGAGGAATACAAACACGACGCATATTGTCAAAACTGGTAGTGGTAATGAGAATAGGACACAACAGCACCGCTTGGCTTGTGGCTCAGCTCGTACACAGTGCGTGGTCCAGTGGCGAGTCAATGCCAGAAGGAGAGATGAACTCACGCCACACAATGAGATGACACGGAACCACACTGAGGTCCACTGCTACACCACAAATTTGACCTTCAAGTTAGATTGTGGCTGAGCGAAACGAACAAAGATGGTTTGATCGAGATTGCATGGATTCTGGATCCCAGGACCTTTTTGTTCTTTAGGGCGATGTACTAAGCATATTCAATAAACACACCCGAACACGAACACGAATTGTTTCTGACCAGTGGACTGTTCGACGCAGTGGTCCGAAAGAGAGTCTGTAAAAAAGGTGAACCATGTCTCCTACAACACTTCAAAAAGCTTCTCGAGGTGATGCACCAACCGGTCCCGCAGAGGCATACTGAGATCTGAGAGGTATTATCGGTGATAACATCAGAATGCTATAGCCGGAAATGAGAAACGTGTAAGTCTGGCATTACGACTTTGGAAGAAAGATTCAAATTGATCATCACCGCACCGAAATTGTAATCTCTGGGTGATTGCGTCAGCAGCTACAGTGCCATTCATAATGAGTAACTGTCGAGCATTCAGGAAGAAAACGCATGTACGGCGCAGCGCCAGCTATAAGCAAACTTTTGCGAAAGAACATCAAATATAGAGACCTGTTGCTCCATGCATATTAGGTACCAGCAGGTGTCCCCTGCAAAAGCTAGGAACTTGCATTCTCAAGTAGACGGGGCCGTAGGTTACCATGCGCGTTCAAAGCTTTAATATGCAACAGCCAAATCGCAAGTACAACAATGGCGTCATGACTGGGGGCAAAGAGTAGGGTGAACGTGATGAGATGTCAATCTCTAAGTTGACGCCACACTCCAAACGGTCTGGCGACAATACGCCCGAGAGACATGGATAGTAAGTCGGGAATCACTGTAGAGGGATTATCAAAACAGCGCACATTCAATCAACCGAGAACAACGTTTAGCAACTTGAACTGTGAAACCAACCCAAGACCTATGGAGTCGATCTTGATACAGACGAGTACTTTCAACCCTGGAACGCGATACCTGTCTTCTTCGCTTCTGCAATGCCGCCTCCTGCGAAGCCAGTGCCTGACAATATCATGAATCAGAATGTGGTAAAACAAGACGTAGTCCTTTTGCTCCACAAGGACCTACGCGACCCAAAACAAGCTGAACAAACACGCACCTTCTCTCTTTAATTCGATCATGTCTTTATCACCAAGTGTGTGGTCACAAACGATGCACTGCTTCGTCACCCGCACCAGCTTATCAACACATACTTTGCACACAACATGGGAACATGGTTTCATGACTACGAGTGGTCAAATCCTGCAAGCGATGTCAGAGGCATGGTGGACTCACGAAACATCATCCTATTATTGTGAAGATTACTTTTGCACGCCGGACAAATCGGAACTCCGTCATCCTCTGACTTGGATTTACCCTTTTCACTCTCCACGGGAGTAGAATCTGATGATTGTGACGCCGACGCAGTGGGTAGTAATGTAAACCCCACAGGCACCAATGACTTCAGGCTTAAAACGTCATGAGAAGTTGTTTACCATGACAGATAATGTATACCAACCTTATTGGGTGGGGTGGATTCCCTCCCCGGCAAGTTGTTTGAACCTTAACATCCTTGAGGGAGCTCGGCAAACCGCTTGAGGTATATGTAGGAGTTAGCGAAGGCAGCCAAAAGTCTGGTAGTTTGTGTCGTAATGACTCCGCCTGCTCTCGTTCGATCTGTCTTAGAGCTGCTTCTTCGGCTTCACGGGTAAGAGTTTCAACTGTTGAAGAGTCGAAGTCAAGCTTCCGCTTCGATGATCGGGCTGGGAACAATTGAGCATTACTAGGAGAAGTAAATGGACGAGATACGCACAACCTTTTGCTCCGACGCCAGATGCAGGTGCAACAGACGGTAGGTTCGCAGATAATCCCAGTTGACCCTTCTCGAAATCACGAAGTACACGTTCTCTGGCTGCCTCTCTAGCTCTCTCTTTCTCCTCTTCAGTTTCTTTCTTCAACTGCTCAAGACGTTCCTTCTGCCGCTTGATATCCTTTTTCTGTGTCACTGGATACTTAATTTGTATGAAACTTGTACATGACATTGTGAACTTACATAGGTCAGTGTACGCACACTCTCTGCAGAATAAATGACCCTGATCGCATGCTATTGGCTCTCTCGCTCGCTGCAAGCACAAAGAACATGCGTCAAAATTTCGCATTGATTCATTACCCAGGCGTTGCTGTTGTAGTACTTGGTGAAAAGCTTCGTATGATTTAGCTGAGCGGACGCACCCGTTTCGTACCATACTCCGCCTTCTGTCTCTCGGCGTAAGAAAACACCGAAGACGCCGTATTATTTTTACTGTGCTTCGTCATGGCAAGGTGTAGCGACAAAAGGTATCTCGGTTAACTGTCAGTGACACTGATATCTTGAAGTAACTTGTTCCAAGTCAACATTGTGGGAAAAAACATTCATATGAGTGTGTTTATGTAACTGGAGATGACTCCACGTGACCCACAAAAGCTCACTGCGCGGCGCAGTGCGAAAGAAGGCAGAGCCGATCTGGATGTACGTGCATGTCTGACTCCAAATCTGTGTCTGGGATCGTGTCTGAGTGATTCAAGTGGAGTTTGGATGGCAAGCCGCTCGCCTATACTGCTTATGACACATCACCCTATACACCGTGACCACGCTGCCACACACAGACCTGGTGTCTGTGCAGACCAACAGATCGGCTATTTCAGACTCATCCTCTCGGCCACGGGTGTGGCTAAAACCTTTTCATCCATCGTAAACTAGCACAAAATTCCATCGGCGGAGATAGCTATTCTTGCTGTCCATCATGCTGTCGCACTTGCAGTATTCAGTCCGCTGATCGGCCAAAAACTGCCTTTTCTTGTGGTAATATCTTCGCCAAGCGGCAGCTAGAATACTCATTCTCTTCAGTCATTATGTGGCCCGATGATCGTACCACGTAGCTAATCGTAAATTTCCTCAGTTAAACAGACATATTTCGACCCTACGGTTCTACGCAATGCGAACTCAAATATCTACAGTCCAGCAGGCGCCAGCAAATCCCAGCTCTTCGATTGTGATGATACACTTCTGCTTCTTCTGGGACGCAGTTCCTGACTAGTCACCAAAAATGTATGTCGACTTGACTTATACAATGTAACCACTGCGGCCATCCTGTAGCACCTGTAAAATTCAATCTATAATGCCACTCGCATCAGCCGATCCCAAATTTCGAGTAGCAATCTGGTGAGTCGGATAATCCCTCAAGAACGTAACGCAGACGAATTTCATGTGCAGCGGTGCAGGCATAGGAGGGCTTGCTCTCGCTGTCACAATCGGGAAGTTTGCAGATCAGGATATCCACATAGACTTGTATGAAGCGGATGATGTCGGGATTGCACTCTCGAGTCGTACAACGGAGGTCATGAAAGAACTCGACATGTACGAAGAAATCTCCCATGTTTCGACCAACCTTGTGACTATGTAGAAGATCTTTTGACAAAATCGGCATGTAGTGCCACACGATGACACCCCACTTTGGCGCTGGAGCTGGCCAGGCAATAGAGGTAGGTGTGATCTTTTGTCAGACTATGTGATCTCACTTTGTACGAGAAATGCTTTTGTGCTTGGTCGCCTTCTTGCTCATCCACTCACAACATCAGACAACTTGCCCGCCGCGCTGAAGGCATACCAGGAGGTTCACCTCCCATTCGCTCAATTTGTAGCACGGGAATCGGGACGTAGAGGACGTATGTGGGACTTTGAGCTGTCTAGTACAGTTCGAGGAGAAGTGCAAGAAGAATTGAAAATTCAAAAGGAGAAGCTCTTAGCCCAATGGGAATGGGAAGGCAAGGATCGTCCTGTTGCCGAATGGTTGGAAGCAGAAAGGAAACTACAGGAAAGCATAGGTGTGACGAACAAGCTATTAACGTGAAAACGATGTATCACTATCAGTATTTTCTCCCCAGGTTCTACTATACGCGCAATGACTATGTGCACGATAAACCTTATGACATAGACTACTAAAAACACCAACGTGAATGGTAAGTGTGTTTGGTCTTACATGGAAACCGGGTCTGACACTGGACTGTGGGAAGCACCAAAAAGTGCTGCCAAGGGTGCTGGCGCCCTTCATAGGGAACTTTAAGGCGTGCAAGGTATTAGCCATGCTGATTTGATTTAGGGAAACTGAGTGTAATGTCGTCGATGTTCGACGACAACACTGACGGACGATCAGACAGTAGTAATGTGGATGAACGTATGGGATTGAGAGAGGGTATCGTACGATGAGCACTCAGTACGTGTATCTGGCAGTGTCCCAGGTGTCCAATCAGGTAGAAGTAATTAAGCAGGCCGGGTTGGGTATCAATGCCGGGGTGCAATGATTGCGAATCGTAGCGGTAGATAGAAGCCTACGATTGGAATAGTTCGGAAACATCGGCTCCTAAATTGAAGGTCATATGTGCTGTGATGGACGCCTTGAGATGACGCCCGCTACTAGTACTAATTAAGATACAAATACTGTAGTGAACATTGAACAAAACACATACTGTGATACACCCCCCCAAAAAAAGTCCAATAATGTGCTCACTGCTTCCATGTACCTTCCTCTACTTCATTAGAGCGATTCGAGCTGCACATAATGACAAATAGAGTATTGTTGATGCATCAATGAACATTGGACAAATTAGAATGCAGACAAACACCAAAAGGTAAATTACATAGATCGACAGTGGACACGTGCGCAGTCATCACCCTTTCGGATTAGGACAACTGCTCCCGACTAGAACAAACGCTCACATATACATACACATCTTAAGAAGAAAGGGAGAAAGGTTTTCGGGAACTCTCGCGCGCTCGCGTGGTTTTCGCGTAGCGCCATGTGGTTTTCGTTTAGATACGCTTAGATACGCTTAGATACGCTTAGATTCGCCTAAGGCCACATGGTTTTCGCTTACCTCGCTTGAACTTCTATTTGGAAACTCGCGTGGTTTTCATGTATATTTCGAGCGGCGACTCAAACAACGTCACCCATTGGGAATGTTGCGCAACAACATTGGTAACTGTATGTGTACATGGCATTAAATAATGTGTTTGAGCAGGGGGACAACAGGATTTGAGTGTTTTGCCTACTGCAATTATTAGTAGTGACTGTATATGTACATAAATGGAACAACATATGATACAATTACATACAGGGAGATAACAAATGTGGTGACAGGAGATAAGATTCAAATAAAAAAAGGAGACAAAGACAATGTAGACTCAAAAACCAGAGAATGTGATGACAGGAAAATGGGGAAATGGGAGAACAGGAGACAGGAGATGGGAGACTGAGAGAACAGAGACGGGAGACGGGAGACGGGAGATGGGAGACGGGAGACGGGAGATGGGAGACGGGAGACAGGAGACGGGAGACAGGAGACGGGAGATGGGAGACAGGAGACGGGAGACAGGAGACAGGAGTAGGAAGTAGGGAGTAGGGAGTAGGGAGTAGGGATTAGCATGGGTATACCCCATGGTAACATTTTTTCCAATCACATATATTACCATTTGAAGGCACATGTACAACTTCAAAATTTTATACTGATCCATCACTCCTATGGTAATCAATTTGGAGGTATATTCCCAGGGGTACAGGGGTCTTCAGATCCAAACCCCTACCCCTACCCTCAAGGGTTTCCCATACCCCTGCTGATCCCTAGATGGGAAGCAGGGAAAAATGGGAAAACAAATACATTCAATGATACTGTTACATATTTTGTATTTTTATATTGGTCAAAATCCTGCTCAAAGAACATAGCACTGACTGATTGTATGTAGTACTATGTACTTTTATGTGGTGTGATAGATTGTACTTTGAGTTTTTTTGAAAAGCTGCTCATAAATATATTTCAAAATCATTCAAAATGCACAATTTATTAGGATGCAGCCTGAGGCCAGGAAGCCAAAGGAGGGCGTAGCCCTCCTTGGCTTCCTGTGACGAAGGAACAACACTCATTTTTCTCCCCTGAAGGAGCGCGTAGCGCTCCTTCGATTTGTGCCGAAGGCACAACGGGCGTGAGCTCGTCTAAGAAGTAAAGTACGACGGTTTTCGGAAACGTTCGCGCGCTCGCGTGGCTTTCGCGTATTTCGCGTATTTCGCTTACCTCGCTTAAACCTGTTTTTGGAAATCTCGCGTGGTTTTCTCGCGTGGCTTTCGAGCGCCGACTCACTTGCCCATTAGAGCAGCGCACTACGCAATACAAGTATTTTCCTTATTGTAATGTAATTGTTTATGTTACATGCATACAGTAAATAATAAAATTGAAAATGGAACAACATGATATAATTTTGCAGACAGGGGGACAACAAATATATGTGGTGACAGGAAATGAATGAGAAAAGGTTGTGAAAAAATAAATAAAAAATAGAGAAAGTAGAGACTTGACAACTGGAGAACAGGAGATAGTGAGGAGACAGGAAAATTGGGAATGGGAAACAGGGAGAATGGGAGGAGATAGGAGAACAGAAGATGGGGAGGATGGGAAAATGGGAAACAGGGAAACAGGGAGATCGGGAGGATGGGAGATGGGAAACAGAGAGATCAGGAGGTCGGGAGATGGGAAACAGAGAGATCAGGAGGTCGGGAGATGGGAAACAGAGAGATTGGGAAGATGGGAGATGGGAGATGGGAGACGGGAGACAGGAGACAGGAGACAGGAGACAGGAGAAGGGAGACGGGAGATGGGAGAAGATGGGAGACGGGAGACGGGAGACGGGAGACGGGAGACGGGAGACGGGAGACGGGAGACGGGAGACGGGAGACGGGAGACGGGAGACGGGAGACGGGAGACGGGAGACGGGAGACGGGAGACAGGAGACGGGAGACGGGAGTAGGGAGTAGGGAGTAGGGAGTAGGGAGACGGGAGTAGGGAGACGGGAGACGGGAGTAGGGAGACGGGAGATGGGAGACGGGAGTAGGGAGACGGGAGACGGGAGTAGGGAGTAGGGAGCAGGGAGCAGGGAGCAGGGAGCAGGGAGCAGGGAGCAGGGAGCAGGGAGCAGGGAGCAGGGAGCAGGGAGCAGGGAGTAGGGATTAGCATGGGTATACCCCATGGTAACACTTTTTCCAATCACATATATTACCATTTGAAGGCAAATGTACAACTTCAAAATTTTATACTTATCCATCACTCCTATGGTAATCAATTTGGGGATATATTTCCAGGGGTACAGGGGTCTTCAGATCCAAACCCCTACCCCTACCCTCAAGTTTCCCATACCCCTGCTGATCCCTAGATGGGAGGCAGGGGAAAATGGGAAAACAAATACATTCAATGATACTGTTACATATTTGGTATTTTTTACATTGGTCAAAATCCTGCTCAAAGAACATAGCACTGACTGATCTTATGTACTTTTATGTGGTGTGATAGATTGTACTTTTGAGTTCTTTGAAAAGCTGCTCATAAATATATTTCAAAATCATTCAAAATGCACAATTTATTAGGATGCAGCCTGAGGCCAGGAAGCCAAAGGAGGGCGTAGCCCTCCTTGGCTTCCTGTGACGAAGGAACAACACTCATTTTTCTCCCCTGAAGGAGCGCGTAGCGCTCCTTCGATTTGTGCCGAAGGCACAACGGGCGTGAGCTCGTTTAGTTTGCCCGGACTCTCGTTACCATTCTGAAGTACTTTGGCTCCCAAATCCTGGGAAAAGTAAGGCACGTAGAGGGCCTCATGTATCTTGTTTTCGTGAACGTCGGAACGCTCGAGAGATAAGGCCAGTCTATTCTCAGTCTACCCGATCTGATGACATTGTCAAACTGATGCGTGACGGGTGTATCGACTTCCCTACCCTAACGGCAGGGCAGATCCACGACAAAAGCAAAGGGAATGCGATGTCAAACGGATTGGTCATGCTTCAAGTGGCCTGGTTTGTTATGCAGCTCATCACCCGTGCCATCTATCGCCTCGAAACCACCCAGCTCGAAGTTGGGACACTCGCTTTTGCGGTTCTCAATTTCTTAACTTATGCTGTGTGGTGGGACAAGCCTCTCAATGTGCAATGTCCACATCCAGTGTACTTGAAGTCGACCGAGTTAATGCCAGCGGATATTGAGTATATATGTACCTCAACAATTATACAGCTGCTGATTATGTCTTTCTTAGTCTCGATGACAGAGGCCTACCAGATGGGATCGTTTATTCAGTGCTCGGCCCAATCATGGAACTGATAGGCTTCATTGGCATACCCATATCCCTAATGCTCCGAGTTCCAACATTTGATGGTAGCATCGGACTCGGACGCCTGGACACGATGGTTGTTCGACTTGCTACATTGAGTATGGCAACCATATTTGGCGGCATCCATTGTCTGGCTTGGTTTTTTACCTTCGTCACACATCAGGAACAGCTCCTATGGCACCTATGTGCCCTCGCTATAACTGGCACACCCTGGCTTTTCTTTTGTGTGGCTTTCACATTCAGTGCACCATCTCTACTAGGTCACCTGCATCACCTATATATCCTGATTGGACTTTTATGTATCATATTATACGTTACAGCTCGTGCCGTCCTGTTGGTACTCATGTTCACCACTTTACGTCATCTTCCTGGTGACGCATACCAGGCAGTGTCGTGGATTGGTTTGGTACCGCACTTATAGTTCCTGATTACGGATACTTGTGATACACTTCATACTTTTGTAACGATATTCAGACGTAGCATTCCTGTAGTCGACGATGGACCTCAGGCCAGTTCATCAGGAAAACCCTCCCCCTCTAGTTAGAACCAACGAGCTCGCGCCCGTTGTGCCTTCGGCACAAATCAAAAAAAGTAAAAGTACAATCTACTACACAACATAAAATTACATATTGATTCAGATATCATTTCGGTATAGTTATACATTCAATTACGACACGCAGCTCCAGTACATATTAATATTGTGCAAGTAGCAAGTGTCGCTTGATCACCGGTATCATCGTAATTATTATAATCCTAATGGCAAAATTTAGTACTTTCCTGTGCCGTCTCTTCGTCTTTATGCTCCTCATATATATAAAGGATGCAATGCCGTCAACTTGAAGCTCGCCTCAATATCTTATACTTTCAGCTGCGATCGACTCGAGGAATGATTTGCACGAACCGCCGAACGAGGTGCGTAATCTATGACAACTCATTGCTACAGTATGGTCTGGATATGATCGAGCTCGGGGGACGCCTCTGATCCCCGGCGATAATTTAACGTATGGTGATCTGGAAGCCAAATATAAAGATGTCGATGAATCCTCGACTCGGATCGTGAATCACATCTGTAAGTCTCGGCGAAGTCTTTACGGGCCCCGTCACGACATTTACCCGTGTGCAATATTAATACAGATCCAGGTGGCATGGCATGGGACTCGGATGGCTAATTTCAGGCGTCTCCTTGGGTTGACGCGGGCTTGATGAATCCTGTGATCCATAATGTTTACGCTTAACTTCAATTTGAAGTCCATTCCACAGACTACCACTGATGTGATACCTCGTGCTCATTCGACTGTATACAAGACCTGGAACAGTTTCACGATGAATCCAAGTATGGTTAGAAAAAGTACATAATTGTTGTACGCGCCAGTCATATATTCCTCCCTTGTTCAAATAGAAAGCACGTCCTTAATCTGCGTCGCAGGAATTGCTTCAGCATAGGCCCTTCTCTTCAAACGGACCTGCGTAGCCTGTTCAAACGCATAAGCGAAGCCAATAAGATTGAATTCGCTGTATGCGGTGCCTATGAAGGCTATCCCAAATGGAAGGCCTGGAGCTTGTGTGTGCAGTGGTGCAGCGGGAACTGGCAATACCTCAACATTATCTGGCTGGAAGCCCAGCGGAACTAAGCAATCGATTTGGTCAAATGAACCGTCATGGAAATGGGCATTCGCACCTGAGATTATAGGGTATCCGGAAATCGCTGCAGGTGTCGAGGCAGTCCCTAAGGAAGTTTAAGATCCTGAAATTGACGCAAGCATATGATCGTACGAACCATCAGTAGGAAGAATGATTGCGTCCAATTTGAATTTTTGGAGAGTTGCATCAATGCCTCGTCTCCGGCCTAAATCGAAATCTTCAGCTAAAGCTGCATAATACGCATCATTCTTTTCCGTCGCTTCGGCAGCAATAAGCCTTGTAGCAGAGTAAGCAACCCCATAGCACCACCGGCTCGTGAGCCCACCTAGATTGATCGTCATGGTATGGTGGTATAAGCTCTAAGTCTGCGTGGGAATTGTTGAATTCGATCAAATCTGCGAGCTTCTTTACGCCAGTAGGAACTTCAAGTAACCCCGAAATATACTCGTTCAAATCAGCCTTGAAGTCTGTCTCCAGCACGAGTGTTTCTGCTTGTGACTCCTTCATCTCCTCGGCACAGGGGAAATCAGCCGGATCTACGATCTCCGCGCCAAGAGCCCGAAAGGTGTCTAAAGAAGCGTTGAAAGCTTCCAGAATTGCTTTATCGTCGCCCAGGAATATCCGCGGCACTCCCAGTCGCTTACCTTTCAAAGCGTTCAGATCGAGCGCTTTCATGTAGTCAGGGAGAACACCAGGTTGGTACAACGTGGCCATGTCTCGAGGATCTGGTCCTGCTATAACGGAGAGCAGAAGGGCCGCATCTGTAACTGACCTACACATAGGTCCAGCTGTATCTTGATGCGATGAGATAGGTATAACTAAAGAGACTCTGCCAAGTGTCAAGGTGTGATTGATAAAAGTAGATACCTCCAGCTCGAGAAACCAACCCTACAGTGGGCTTAATGCCTACCACATTGTTCTTGCTGCTTGGCGAAACAATAGAACCATCCGTTTCCGAGCCCAGAGAACCAGCAGCAAGACCGATGGCCATCGCAACCCCACTCCCAGAGCTCGATCCAGATGCATCCCCGTTCGGGTAATAGGGACAAAGAGTCTGACCTCCACGACCTGAGAAACCGTTTGGAACATCTCCGCGATAGTTTGCCCATTCAGAGAGGTTTGCTTTTCCAAGAAGGATGGCGCCGGCTTCGCGGAGCTTAGCAGCGACGAATGCATCCCTCGGAACGACGGAACCCAGGAGAGCATAGGAGCCTAATCTCGCCAAATATTTAACCCAGAACTAGACATTCTTTGATATCGTACCAGCGGTAGTATTCATCCCTTCCGGGGGATCAACATACTGAACACGCATCGTGAACAGTTACGTACCTTCTTCATGCAGTGTAGCCATGTTGTCTTTCAGTAACAAAGGGATGCCGTGCAGTGAGCCTCTGCTTCCTTTAGACTTGCGCTCGTCATCAAGTTTTGCAGCCTGAGATAAAGCATTCGGGTTCGTCTCGATGACTGCATGGAGAGCTGCGCCCTTTAGATTGACCTCATCAATCCTTGCAAGATAAGCCTGTATTCGCGAGGCGTCATAAATAAACCAACTTTGATTGATAGTAACTCACCTTAACGAGATCAGCGCTCATAAAGTGCCCCAGCTCAAGACCCTTCTGAAGGTCGGGAATTCCGGATTCATACAAATCAGGGAACACGTTCTCCGAGAGGACCGTGACACCGCGACTGAACATATCTCCAGGCATTATGCACGGCAGGCGCCAAGAGATCTAGAGAGGTGACGAACGGGTTGGGCCCAGACAAGCTGAACTATTTCCCATTGATAAAGGACTCAGACTTCTTTATCATACGGACCGCGGACTAGAGATAAATTTGGCTCATATAGTCACGAGGTACTTGAGAGATAGACGCCAGGCTTCGATGCGGCGCCCAGCGACAAGACCAGAAGTATTATAAGAAAAGGCATCGCTGGGAGTTAGCACAACCGTGACCCATCACTGGCACTTCCATGGATCCACTGGAGGAGTCCAGGACCATATCATGATATGATAGAGACTACACCGCTGTACTCTTGTAAGTTGACTTGGCACACCGCACAGGCATGTATCGACCCTATGATATGTTTATTGTGTGGCTTGCGCGAACCTCGGGTCAAGGTTTCAACACTGATCATCATTGATGGGGCAGATGATCATCGGTGGCTGAGTAAACATGATGATGATGATGCATGATGGAGTAGCAATTTTTCTGGTCGGCTCATGCACATGACCAGACGCATTCAACGTACCTACTTTTTAATTTGCACCCGACCCTGGGACTCTTCACTCATTCATGAATGTCTTTTCTGCACAATCACACAGAACACAGCTGATCCTGGCAGCTGTGTCCGCATCTTTACTGACATCAGGTCTGTTTACTGCATATAATGCCTACAGTCGACGTGAACGGAGACGTGGCCTCGATCGAGATATCCTTAGGTCAATAGCAGACCAGAATGAAGGTTCCAAACAGCATTCAAGACCCAAGGACGATGAGTTATTGGATGAGCAAATGATCCGCATCGGTGCTAACGGACATGACGAAGGGCTGACCAGGGAGCAGCTCGCGCGGTGCTATGCGTTTTTCGGAGATGAGGGCATGGCACGCGTTCGGGAAAAATCTGTCGTCGTCGTCGGCTGCGGTGGCGTTGGCAGCTGGGTGGCAGTCATGTTGGTGAGGTCGTACGTGCTTATTACCATTACTATCCGTGTTGTTGTGACCCACTAATTATGTGCAGAGGCGTGTCGAAGATCCGATTGGTGGACTTCGACTATGTGACGCTTTCCTCGTTGAACAGACACGCCACGGCTGTGCTTGCGGATGTAGGAACGCCGAAGGTGGGATGCATTGAGCGGACTCTCAAGCAGATCAGTAGGTGTGTGGAGGTAGACAGCCGCCTTGAGGTCTGGAGGAAGGAGGACGGAGGGCGGTTGCTGGAGGGAGCAGACTGGGTCATCGGTATGTCAATGCACTCCTCGATCTCGTTCGTCTTTCATTCAGTTTGTTATGAAAAGATGCAATAGACAACATAACCACAAAAGTCGATTTGCTGAAGTATTGCCATGAGCACCATATCAAAGTTCGTCCTAGTTACTGACTGATATCTAATCGTATCCAACTCATGCTACTGTAGGTGTTCTCGTCTATGGGAGCTAGTGCAAAGACAGATCCTACAAGAATTCAGATCAGTGACATCTCGTACACCATGTACGACCCTCTCGCACGCTCTGTTCGACGCAGGTTGCGGCTGCAGGGTGTATCCTCGGGGATTCCCGTTGTTTATTCCACAGAAGTGCCCGGGGATGTGAAGTTACTCCCCCTTCCCGAGGAAGAATTCCAAAAAGGTGCCGTCAAAGAACTGGGAGTATTTGACGATTTCAGGGTGCGAATATTACCAGTCCTTGGTATGTCTTGATTCTCTGCAAACTGGCGTCTTGATATCTTACTGTTCTTCCGCGGGGTAGGCTCCCTGCCATCGCTTTTCGGGCTGCACATCGCGACCTACATCCTCTGTGAGATGGCCGGAAAACCGATTTTGAACCCTTTGCCCATAAAGAATCGCAAGAAGCTTTATGAGCGTCTCCTTCGTGATCTTTTGCATCGTGAATCGAAGTTCACTGGGGAGCCGATCAAGTGAGTCCACACGTCACATCTTTTGGTCCGCCTTACACTTTTTGCAGTAAACTGCCTATCGACGAAGATGATGTCGCGCTGATATTCGAGGACCTGCATCTTGGTCGTTCTGTCGTGCCTCCTCATGCTGTTCCTGCACACCCAACACTTCTGCGGTGGGATCCAACCAAGCCACTTACTCTAGAGAACTGCGTGGTCTTTGAATCTACGGAAGCAGAGAAGCACGTCAGAGAGTGCTTGATGCCGCGGACAGAGGAAGCACATCCAAGAAAAACCCCGGGAGCTGTATGGGGAGACGAAGTGCAGGCTGTTGTAGAACGTCATGCGGGAGACGTGGCAAAATACAGAACGTGGGTTGGGCTATAACGAGATGCACGTCCATCTGAAAGAACAGATAAAGTTTGTCGATTATATCAGAAAGCTTTGGTTTCTGATAGAAACCATATTACTGCGCATACATAGATAATCAATAGGTTATACTGTAACGGTACAATCTTCTTTTACTTCATGGGTCATCTTACAACACTTCTCCATTGCACTATTCCCATCTCGTCCTTTGGCTTAGGGCTTTACGTAACGTAGATGAGGGTACGTTTTTGAGAGTTGACTATACAGAGAGTTATGAAAGCGCCAACAAGCAACCCTGTGACGATACAGGTTGCGGTTTCGGCCAGCGAATGTGATCGGCGCTTTGGGTGTCGCTGAGGTTCTTCATGATGAGATTCCGATTCTGGTGTAGGTCTAGTCTGCTCTATGGCGGACCGTTGTTGTTGATGAACAACAATCGTAGGGGCGAAGATAAGGGTGGGTGTCTTCGGCCGATTTCTATCTGGACTCTCAGAATCGGCTGTGGCTACATCACCCAAAGCAGCCTGCGAAAAAGATGCAGCTGGTGGGGCGGCAGCTGTTGGGAGCGCTAAGATAAGAGTATCTTCGTCCACCGACCATTCGATGATAGACGCTGGGGGGGAGGGGGGCATAACAACGGATTCTTCGACCTTGGCTTCTACCATGTCGTCCGTGGAATCGACTGATGAACCGATTTCGGTCTCTTCGTCGTCCTCTACAACACGTTCAAGGTTGGAGAACATCCCTTGCAATCTCCGAACCTCTTCGGCCGCCATCCCCTTCTGCTTCTCTCGGACTTCCTCGCCGACAGATTGGATGAGGGAGTGAATGACATCCCGTATCTCGAGGTGTTCTCGTGACCACCACTGAGCTGGCCATTGCGCGATTATGAAGGCAAGGCTGCGGACTGTTTCGGTCGCTTCAGTGAAATCGTCGACGACAACACTGTGGAACCAGGGACGCAGGAACGACATTGCCAAGCGAACGGAGCTTCCGGTTGCATCGCGAAGACGATGCTCAGTGGGAAGGCGCAAGAACTGATCTGACATGTCTTGGCAGAACTGGCGGAAACTAGGCTTGCGATCCATGGTATCCCATGATAGGATATCAAACTGCGATGAAGACGACCGCTTATCGACAATGGTATCTTGGCGGAAGAAGTATGACGGGAGTTTATCGATGATGCTCAGAAGGGGGACTGAGGCTAGAACGGCCGAACTGGGGATAGATCCATGAACAAGGACGTCTTGCGACTCCAATGCGAATCTGTACCACTTCCAGTAGTCCAGATGCCTTCTAGGTCACAAAATCAGCTTATCTGAGCAGCCAAGAGTCCGATCAAAAAATACTGACTCATTGGGTGCGCCCTTTCTTAGTAGCTCCAGAGCGGTCGCAGCTCGACCAGCGAGCTGACGTGAATCGATTATGGCGATTTCAATGTTGTGCTTAAGACCAACCCGGTACCTGCGGGTAGCTTCCCAGATAGCCCAGGCAAAGCTGAACGTAGTCGAGATGTAAGGGGACATGTGTCTCTGCGTCCAGTCCATATGCTGGGCAACATCTGCATAACTGCTCGTTGAAGCTACTGACTTGCCTGTAAACGGTTGTCGAAGCCGCTCTGCGGCCTCTCTATATTGCTCATTGTACTTCTGGCCTACAAAGTAGGGCTCAGTAGCATCAAAGAATGGAGAGCGTTGCTTCGGAGTATATACGCGAAATAAGAAGGGGTTGTCCTGGATAAGGCGATCAAAGGTATGATCAGAGCCATACCCATACTGAGGTAGCGGACCACCTGAAATTGGGCTCTGAGGCGGGGATGAAACGACGGTCATCGTATGTAGCGTCGAGGGGCCAGGGGATATAGATCAGCAAGTTGGGCTAAAGGAAATGCTTTTCTAGAAACTGGAATCGTCCTCGTGTTATCCAGCCCTATCGATCCGGCTCATGGATATGAAGACGAACACATGGATTCAACGAGGCTTTTAATTGCATGTACAGGTCTGAAATGGAAAGCAAAGGCACCGGATATCACCTGGAGTCAGACGGCTGCCACTTGACGAGCTTTCCGCTCACCAGAGTGACAGCTGCACATGAGCATGAGTCGAAATTCGTCAATATTCTTTACTGGAGGCAAACTTGGGGTGGACAGTAATTCCTGCGTCGTGTAGATGCCTGGATGTATATACCTTAACCTTACAGACAAATGTTGAATGAGCGTTCTTGAATGAAGTTTTGTATTCCGTTTGACACCGTAGGTCGAGCACAAGTTATTCCGAGTGTCAAAAAGCATGACCGTTAATATTGAGGGCAAATTGAGGATGCCGCTGAGCTTTAATTCCGAGTCCCAAAGCGGGTGAGAACATGCATCTACAACGTTTCGCCGGAGAACCCAACGAGGATACATCGTTTCTTTGCACAGCACCATCAGCGTACCAAGCTTGGCGAGATGCTTTGCAGCATGGAAGCTGCACGATTCGATCCGATACAGCCTTTAGGCCGCATCTCGGAGAGGACTCAGATTACACATGAGATTGATGCTGGAATACGTATCTCAGTTTCCAAGCTGTAATCTGAGCTTGTGGGGAAAACACACCCGGCCTCGACAGCCAAATGAACGTCTCTGTCAAAAATGTGATGGTGCGCCCGATAGCAAGTTGACGTTCTTAGTAATGGTGACAATGTATACCCATCCTCCTTCCTGTGTGTATTCGTCCGACTTGAGGTAAGTCTTTCATGTCACTAGTGCTAACAGTATATCAGATTTCCAGAAATGTGTCCTCAACATGGGAAATCATTCATTTCGATAATCTCCTCATCTTGGCGGTCCTCTTCGCACCTTGGATACTAAAAATGTGACCACAATTCCAGCAACTGGCACATCAGAAGCTTCTATTTAGTGTGTAGGGGGATCTGCAATTGAGTACTATTAATCTCCATGGCTAATAGTGGCGGCGTTTATGCGGCAATTGTCCATCTTTCTCTTGACGCAAATCTTTTCTACAGCTCCCCATTGGTGACGGATCATGACTTAACTACTAACAATGATCAAGCTGTTGCCCGGCATTCGGCCCTTTCCATCTTGGCGGCTAAGTAACGTTCGTCTCAAAGCTGTTTTCGCCTTCAACGAAAGAAGCCGGCATAGGCAAACCGCTGACCGTCGGGATATGCTATCGGCATCATTCTATTACCGTTTGTTCCAAGAAGAGTAGAGTGGCCCGGTAGTTCAATCATAGAGTGCTTGGCAGCATCAGAAATCGTAGTTTCTAGGCTTTCTACCGAGGTCAGCGCAGTGTTGCGATTGAACAGGTGAGCGGATCACATTCAATTCCCTATAGCCGCTTCAATTCCGCCACAAGTACTTTTCTAATAGATTTCACTGTTCCCAGAGGCTATTCTCTTGACTTTTCCCCTGTATTTGCAGATCAAGATGATCTCAGGACCGGTCGTTCCATGCATCATACACTGCATATAAAGGTAGGTTCCACAGGTTATGATACTTAGCGTCTCACTCATTATCCAGCCATGTCTTCGCTGCGGCGCCCATTTGTCACTGCACTACAAAATGCATCATATGGAAGAGTCACTCAATCCTTACCTATGCGCCTGTCCTCATCGATGTCAGTTGCGATAACTACGCAAGGACACGAGGAACTCACTATTCCACCAATCTTTGACATCTTTGACGCTCCGGTGCGCCTGGGAGAATCTTCCGCACTTGTTAGACGAACGGCCACGATAACTCGTATCGCTGCTCTCGAACGCAACAATGAAAAATCAAGCAATGCCGCTAGCAACTTCACTCGAGCTCAACATTTTTCCTCACTACCTCCCCCCATCCTATTCGATGGCCCTGCTCGCCCAGCATATTTATTACCGCGAGCACTTGAAAATCGTCACAAAATACGGCAATACCCATCTCTATCGCATAACAGACAGGCACACACACCTTCATCCCCTTTCATATCAACCTCAGAACCTATATATGAAATCTTTGATGGACCTTCGCGAAAAGCCCGTTACAAATACTCAACGTCGTCCTCACAGGTACTTCAGATTCCATCTAAAGTTTTCACACACTCATCCATACTCCCTCTTAGTCTTCATCTCGGCCATATGTTTGCCTTGCTCTGGGTATCTCTGGAGCCTTTGGCTGGTTGGCGATGAAGGACCAGCTAGGCGATGAATAGTAGCAGGGAATGGGAACGTCTTCATAAGCAGGTGTCACATTCTTGGCTATGTTTGGGCTCGGAGCGAGTATCGCTTCGCGCCAAGATATGTGCATAGTGCACATATGGCACCGCGAAACGCGCGGGTCCAGCCCACAGTTTGGGCTTGCGGCCCCTCAAGCTCAGCCATGCGGCTATGCCTGTCTGACATTATATTTTCTCGTCGGGTGTTCTTATCTTTGCGTTTCGGGTCTCACGTAGTGTTTGACGTCTTCTGGGGGCATTCACAGCTTTATGAACCACTTTCATAGACTTTAGAGCCGTGTGCTGTTTTGTATTGTATAGTTGTGTATCGATAGCGTATTCATCATCAGAAGTATAGCCTTTGTAAGATGTGCACCATTGTCCTGGCAAGTGCAATCAAGATGTACCAGTCTCCCAAGTCCTTGTTGCCATAAACATTATCTGCTGGAAGAGATACTACCGTGCACCGGTTTATTTTCCGAAGTTCGAATGCTCTTTTACACATGTCTCACAGTAGCAAACGTTTATCGCTCAAGCGCTCAGGCCTCAGAGATATGTTCGAGCGCGTCAATTAACACCCACGGTGCGCCGTTCCTCATGGCTAGCGACTACGGCGTGATAGGACAATTCATTCATATTGCACGCTGGCACTGCTTGTACTACTATATAGCTATATACTGATACGATATAGATGCCAAAAACCACAGTGAGACTGCTAGGTTCCCCCCCTAGACTCGCCATGAACTGCGTTATACGTGCATGTACACTCGACGATAATCCGCCACTCTCAACAGTAAGTTCTCAAATCTTTACGCTGCAATGCATATGCTGTTTCAAAGCAGGGGGACATGCAAGGTCTACATGACTAGTAATTGTGCAGGGCGCGACATCGGATCAACACCTCACGGACCGAAATCTCCCTCATAACGCTCAGCCACATCCACATATACTTCATCCTGCACCATGGCCGTAAGTCTATCAATTGCAAGTTGCGGTGACTGCCAATGCAGTCATAGTACCATAAACCATCACGACTGTCTTCAGAAGAGGGGAGGTCACCGAGATAGAGTAGATGATCTTCGGGGAAGCGCAATGGAGGATAATCTCTTTCCCCCCCAGTGATAGTATGACGCAGCATAGCACAAACTCATGAGACACAGAAGGAAGGCAGCTAAGAGATGTCTTTAGGCTGAAGTGGCGCAGACACAATAAGTTCTCGTTAGTGACAGGCAGGCAGCTTTGAACAAATTATACAAACATACTTGAGATAGTTTGCCCAGTCCACCAGAAGAAATGGTACGATTAATTAGCAAGCAGTCGTCAAGTGCTGGAAGAGATTAAGAAGTACTCGAAATAAACGCTGCTAAGCGTGCATTGATCCTCGGCAGCTCATCCACCGTAGGCTGCAGCACTCAATCGAATTGCTTCGGTAGCCTACATCAATTACCAGTATGCCGTAGATTATAAGCGCGGTCATCTGATCTTAGCATGATGAACAACAGCAAACATTAACTCAAATATGAATATTCTTTTAGAGGGGAAAACCAATGTTGTGTGGCGTTGGCCTTGTACCGCTGGGGCGTAACTGTTACACCAATGAAACAATCTGGACGTCCCTGTGGGTAAAGTCAGCTCAATGCGTTACCTCCAAAGGATGCCGCCAAATGAGAATGCAAGAACTCACCGTCCACATCCGCCCATCACTGACTATCGTCCTTAAATTTACGCACGCCCGCATCATGTATCTCACGTCGTTCCTCGCTAAGGTCGCACGCGGGCCGTGACTTGCGTGAGCATCACCAACATCGGTCAACGTGTGCAACTCTTTCAAACTTGATATTGCTGCAGTAAAGGCTTGCTGGAATGATTCCTGTGATGATGTATCTCAGCCATGGGAAAAAGACGTACAATGTCTTTGATTGGCAGCGGTATTTCCAACATTTCCAGATCTTTGCACTTGGAGCTTAGCTTTCCAACCATGTCAATTGGAACTGCACAGTCCATGAGAGCAAGACGTTTCAAAGGCACTGTGACAGCATTGGGGGGAGCAATAAGATCAATGACAGAGTTCCATATAGGGAGCTGACGGTCCGCAAACTTGAGCACAAGTGTAGATAGAGAGGTCAGCGAAACAAGGAGCGATGACATTGTCATAGCCGTTGCATCAGATGTTGGACGCACGTCGATGGCAAGATGCTGCAGGCTGGGTAAGGTGATAGTAGGTAGGCAAAAAAGGCTTGGTGGAGGGGTATTTTCCTGCAGAAAATAAGCGAGTATCAGAGATATCCAATGAAGGAAAGACGCACGAATATAGTGAAAGAGAATTCTTTCAACGATGGGGTGTGTGTTGTAGCAGCTTTGATGACCACTGTATGAGGAGCCTTTGGACATCCAATGAGGTGCAGCCCACGAAGACGAGGCAGTAAAGGGAGCAAGGCTTCCAATAATATGCCATTCACTTCTTGAGACATCTAACCAAACCTCAGTAAAATGTTGAAAGTAAGCGAAAGGAACGCACGAAGATCGTGAGGTGCGAAAGTGTTCGCTGTAACGGCTGAGCCCATCTCGTCAGCGAATCCACAATATTCCAGGTCGGGTAGTCCAGAGTCAGGCTGCGTAGCGTTGTGATTTTTTGCAGCATCTCCCCTTGCGTCGTTGTGAGCGCGGCATAGATGTGCAGATCCTGCAAGCGTTCCTTTCCCTGCAGGGAGCCGAGCAGAGCTGGGAGGATCCTCGGCCCACACACAAATGATGTTAGGTTTTTGCAAACTTGTAGCGCGTCCGCAGTTTCCGAAAGGAATCTCGGATGTACTTGTCCAGCTGCAATGAACGGTGCACAATGTATGTCAATTTGACGAACATGGACAGCTAGATCAGGGTGATTGCGAAGAGTGAGGAATGGTGACATGATCTGATGCATAGTTATTGAGAAATATGCATGTTTCTTGTTCACGAACGTTCGACTTACCCCTCCTCCTTCGGGTCTATATCGTTTGACATGCTTTGCGGTGAAAGAGACCTTGGCATACAAACACGGAATAACGCCAGCGAGGAACGACTTGCTAACAGACGAGACAGCGACGAGATCATTTCCAGAGATGAATGCAAAAATTAACTCGAGCACGTCGAGATTCAGGTTGTCTGCCGTGACCATCGGTTGAGTGTTCGAAGTAGACGTCTTTAGACTGAGATGTGGGTTTTCCCGAGCCACAGACTAGGTATCTGGGTTTTCTGCGACTACAGTCAAGTCTGGCTCGCAGATGCAACCAATGGCGCTGAAGGGTAAGAAGAAAGATAACCTGCTAGGCCGCTAAAGATTCCTTGTGCAGCCTCGACAGCTGGTCGACGTCGCCGACGTTTGTGCCAAAAATAAATATGTCCATAAATTTATGTAAAGCGCTAGTCATGTCCATTTACGGTTCTACCAATCGATAGCTCTAAGGTCTGTAGATCTTGAACTTCATTGTCTTCAGACACTCTCCACGCATTGGCATCTAACCACTAATATACAGCGCGCAAATTCTATGTCGTAGTTGTTGTAACGGTGCAACAAACGTTTGCCTATTATCATACTTGTCGGCTCCATCTTTCATATTCAAATCTCCCATGTAATCTTGAGACGATCTCCATATAATCGGGCTCATCATCAGGTGTCAAGTGGCCGTGTCGGATAAAGAAGTCAATGAGGACTGTGGGATCAAACATTAAATGAAGACTTTGTAGGCCATTTGTATTAGCATTTACCGGCAGCGCAATTGGGCTTGAAGATTCCCTGCCTTAACTTTGATTTTACTTCATCCAGCGATAGCAACTATTCCATAAGATCGTTTGGCATGGTCAAGAGACACACAGATATACGTACATCAAAAGATTCCACCTCACCGTCTAATGGACGGGGCTGGAACGAACTATCATGTGGTACCCCAAGATCGTAAACGTATCTAGAGAGCGTGTTGTTAAGATCCCCGCGCACAGAATCAGACAGCACTGACTCGACCTCTGGTTGCAAGAAGTGCATTCTGTTCCTGCAATAATTTCATGGTTATACTCTGTAATTCACCCCAAAGCCTTGCGGAGCGATACCTGAAGAAATAGCTGATTGCTCCGACGGGTTTCGCATGATTCTTCACGATATCTGCTTCCATACTGGCCTCCTCCTCGCACTCCTTGACGAGGCTCTCGAAAACAGGCATGCCACTGGGTATCCCGCCAGCAACACTATTATCCAACCAGCTCGGCCACCTGACGTGGCCATTCAGCTATGTGATTTATGAATATAAACCAATCAAACCCACGTCTGCTTCGTCTTCGCCCGCGTCGGAACCCAGATCTTCACTTGTGGGCTGCTAGCTATCCCTTGATAGATAGTCATATGTATTCCATAGGTTATGACACCAAAAAGAGCACACGCAGCGCGCTCCATCTGAAAGGCGTAGTTTCCTCCTCCCTCGTTGGAATCATTCTCAGGATAGTAGTCGTGCACTCCAAAGGGATTCCGGTACACAGGGTACAACTCGTTCCGCCATTTTCGGGGCCCGATGCTCGCAGGGAACACACCAGTGTCGCGCCAGCGCTCACAGAGCTCTTTCAGCACTGCAGTGCGCTTCCTCGGGGTATTGACTGATGCATCAAAGCTGACACGGTGCCCGGTCTGAGGTTCTGGAATGTCCCATGTCCCAGGTCTCTCCTTTCGAAGGAGATCTACTATGTCAAGCCTCAAGAGCCCAACAGCAGGACTTCCTGGAGATTGCGATAGTGTCCAGGGCACGAAAGAGTCTGTGTCTGAAGGATTTTGAAAGACATCAGTAGAGCCAAAGTTAGGTGGTAGGCGAAAATTGTCGCATATCTTGACGAGCTCAAGATAAGAAAGTGGTGAGGATACGGGAGATGGGGGGTCGTTAGACATTCTAAACTTCTGATTCACAAAAGTTGTAGTGCCCTATTAATTCGACCTTATATACACACATACAGGATATCCACGCTCGGCCGATGCTCTCCCAAGTGCGCGGTGAAAGACCCATATATACATTATCACGAAATCCATCCTGGCCTCAGGCTCTGTAATAAGACCCAAGAGAATATACAAAGTTCCAGGTTTCCGTGGCATAATTACTGTGAAAAGGAGAGAAAAAAAATGCAATATGTATGGTGCCCAACAAGATGATATAGCTGTAGTAAACAAGATGAAAGGTGAAGAATACGTATAGAATCAAGGTCCATCTACTATTTGCATAGCATTCACTTTCGATGAAGCAGGTCGTGGACCTTGAGTGGCTGGCAAGTATGAAATGAGGGGGGAAGCTGTTCTGCTTCCCCCACCAAATAACGACGCGACACCGTTCATGCCACCCTCCATCTCTCTAGGCGGTGCTCCTGGACCCGCAAGGCGAGGAGAAAACCCGGATGCTGGACCAATAGGCGGCATACCAAGCTTTGACGAAGACATTGGAGGTGGAGACAATGGTCGCCTGGGCTTCATCACTGGGCTACTAGCCGTAGACGCATGAGACTCAAAGCGTGACGGCGAACGCAATCCAGGGTGTGGTATTGATGATGGACTGGGAGGGAGGGGTCGGGCGCGAGGTGGAGAAACTCCCGATGAGTTTTGACGGGATAGGGTAGATTGTGTATGTTGAGAGTGACTCGACGAAGGTCCTGCGTACCGATGAGGTCCAGGGGAATGGTAGCGGTCTGGTGGAGCTTGGAATGGGGGCGGGCGCTCGCGGTCATCCTGATGCATCCAGCCATGCCTTGGTGATGGCGCAGGCCCGCTTGGCAATCCAGGACCCGAGGCCGAGCCTGCAATGCTATTATGCGACGGTGCCAGCACGAATGGCGTTGCAACAGGTCGGTCACGTTCTTCATAAGGTGGATGAGTGGATGACGGACGGCTCCCATGTTTATTCCAGTGCTGCTGCTTATGATTAACCATTTCTGGCTGTGGTTGTGGTTGCGGCTGCGGCTCGGGCGGGTGGTGATGATGCACCACGTGGTGGTGGTGACGGTGATGGTGGTGACCACCAACATGATGATGTGGTGGGGCATGCGTATGGTGCGGGTGTCGATGGTGGTGCTCACGATCCAGTTCTTCCTCACGGCGTCGCCCTTCCGCTCCTACATTCCAATCCATCCCACCTGCTGGCTTGGGCATTGCAAATCGCGTTGTATCCTGTAGTGCTGCATTCAAAAATTGTTGTTCTGAATGAGGAGGTGGCGGCATTCCCGGGCCGTATGCGGGAGGGGGCAGGCCATCATACGGAGCTGGGGCAGGTCCAGAAGGCAAGCGCTGTAGGCGTCCTGGTGCACCCAATGGGTACACCTGGCTGGGTTGTTGGAACACAGGTGGCGGGGGCGGAGGCGGCATGCGCACGTCTGGGCCACCATGAAATGCTAGAGTATCCATGGAAGGCGCGCCATACATTGGGCCCATAACCATGCGTGCATTCATCATACGGTGCTGATGCAGGAAATCGAGATCTGCAGCCGCATCTGCTTGAGGGAGGGCGTTCAAGTCGGGGTATGCAGTCGCAAGCATGTGGCGTCGGGATGTTGTGAGAGGTAATATCTGTGCAATTTGACGAATGGTGGGTGCGGGAGGTGGATCAGGGATTGCATTAGGAATGCGTCGCACTGCAAAAAGAACATTCATGAACCGTACAGACACAAGCAAGAGAAAATAATCTTACTTGGTTGAGGTCTCTCGATAGCTCTGCGTTCGCGCTCCAATTTACGGCGTTTACGGTTGGTCTCAGCAATCATCTCTGTTTGCAGATCATCTCGTGCGACCTAAGTCGAGTCATCAAACACAATGTGAGTAGCGGGTATGGACAGGACGCGCATCAAACGCACCTTCCACCAACTCCAGACCGCGTCTTCGTTTGTCCTCCGCCGTTTGTTGGCGGATACAACCTCATACACGCGTTTTCTGCAAGCAAGGGCAAGACGTTTGTCGCGACGTTTATTCAGTTCGGCCTGCAGATGTATGAGCTCCGGGTGTGCTCCTAGAGCAGGTCTTCAGCATGGACAAGTTTGAAACGGGTAAACATGCACACCCTCGGAAACCAATGCCTCCTCCCATGCAAGTCCCTCCATTTTCTCGACATACACCTTCTCCCGTAATAGTGCAAACTTCAGCTCGATAGTTGCAAGCACATCCAGAGCTTCTGCACGGTGAGCAGGCTGCAATTCTAACTCCATCTCCATGTCTAGTTCATCGTCCACCTCCGCTTCAAGGAGAGCGGACTCAGCGTCTGGAGCTGTTAATGTCGCGGCGTCGCAGTCTTCATCCTTGTCCTTCTTGCCTCGTTTACTCTTACGTTGCGGTCTGCCGTTCTCGGGTTTGGGCGACGGAGAACGCGAAGAGGAGGGTGAGCGGGACCCAGACACAGAAGATGCAGACGGAGAAGGAGATGGTGGATGAATGACTGTTGAACCTGCCATTATTGAATGTGAGGCAGCGGCAGCTGCGATGGGCGCGACGGACGCTGGCAGCGGAGCTGTGATGTCAATGGGAATGAGCGGAACAGTTGTGACTGTCTTGACCGGTGCTGAGGGCGGCTCTGCCTCGATATCCACGTCTACGTCCAAGCCCGCATCTGGGGGCCCGTCATTGTCCTCAGATTCGGTGTCGTTTTCATGGTCGTTGAGGGCGGGAGGATCGTCATCATCATCTCCGTCGGCTTCTCCTTCAAGTAATCCGTTTGATAGGGCAAGGAGGCTACGACGCTTTGGAGGGGAAATTGGGTCGTCGACGCGACGGCGCTTTGGAGGAACAGGTGCCAGCTCGTCTTCGTCAGAGGCATAGGGCTCTGGTTCTTCGTCCAATGCCGAATTAGAGGTAGAATTTTGCGGGTCAGCAGCACCGTCCTCATCGTCATAATCTTTCGCACGTCCATTGACAAGTACGCCAACATCGTCAAGAGGCTCGTCAGCGTCGGCGTCCCCGTCGGGGCTGTCGCCATCGAGGTCGTCCCTTGGATCATCTTCATTCTCGTCATCCTCTTCCTCCTCCATAGCTCGAGGCGGACCAGCCATCTCTTCTTCTTCCTCTTCCTCGACCCCGGGTGTAGCACTTCCTTCACTCTTTGAATTTGAATTTGAGTTGAAGGTCTTTGATTTGTATGCCCAGTCCCACATCGGGGCAGGGACCAGGCCCCCACGCTTTTTTCTTCCTCCGCGGCGAGGTTGACGACGACGTGAGCCATCTTCAGCATCTCCGTCAATGAATGTCTTAGTCTTCTTTTTGGGCGACTGAGACTCCTGGACGAGCTCATCGTCTGTAAGCTCTGATAGCTCGGACTCGGCATCCAAGCCGGGACCCGAATCTTCTTGGGGCGGTGGCGATGGAGAAGGCGAGCTCAAT